GACCTCCTCACCATCCTTCCTCGTCATTCTCTTGGTTTTTATCCTCGGCCTCCTCAGCATTCTCCTCCTCCTCCTCCTCCTGCTCCTCCTCCTCCTCCTCCTCCTCACCATCATCATCATCGTCACCATCATCCTCATCATCATCATCATCATCATCATCATCATCAGCAGCATCAGCATCATCATCATCATCATCATCCTCATCATCATCATCATCCCTTCCACCTTAATTCCATATTCCCCTCTCCACATATCCCGTTCCTCGCCCTCGTCCTCCTCCGCTCCCCTCTCATCCTTCCTCGCACTCCGCCTCCGCCTCTTCCTCCCCCAGCTCCTCATACTCCTTCTCCCTCCTCCTCCTCCTCCTCCTCCTCATCCTCCTCCTCGTCCTCCTCCTCCTCCTCCCCGCCCCCCTCGTCCTCCTCCTTGCCCTCGCCCTCGCCCTCGCCCTTGTCGTCGTCGTCGTCGTCGTCGTCGTCGTCGTCGTCGTCGTCGTCGTCGTCGTCGTCGTCCTCCTCCTCCTCCCCCTCCTCCGCCTCCTCCTCCTCCTCCTCTTCACCGTCGCCCCCCCTTGCTTGCCCCGTCACCCGTCGCCTCCTCCGACAGGCAAGGGATGTCGCTCGAGGGCGCGATCAGGGCGGCGAGGATGGCCGAACTCGCTCGAGGCGGCGAGTCGCGACGCCAGAGGTCGAGGCGGAGGAGGCGGCAACGCTGCACGGAGGCAGGCGCCGACGTGTGAGAGGGGCGAGGAGGTCGGCGGACGGCGCGGCACACGCCCCCAACGCGGTGCTGTCCGCACCGCTCGTGCGTGGAATTGATTGCTCTCCTCCTCCACCCTATCCTCCTTTCCTGGTGTTCAGTCCTCTCCTGTGCCTTTCCTGTGTGATCCCATCGGGCCGTATTGTGATATCTGGGCGCCATTTGGAGCCGCCGTGGAGCCATCGAGGGCCACGTGGATCAATCTCGGGGCCATTCCTTTGGGCCGTCCGTGGTATTTTGGGGCAATGTTGAATCGCAGTGGTGTCCATCCTGGGTTTCCCCATACGTAACTGCCAAAGTCAGGGCTTGCACTCCAATGCATTCCAATGTAAATCCAATGCAATTCCAACGCGCCTCGCACCGTCATTTTCACTATTGTCAAACCTCCTATCCCTCCATGTAATTCGTCGCACGCACAGCTGCCGCATGACATGCATCCACGTGGTTATTACTTGTGAATGCGATGACAATGCGAACTGAATCGGATTGGCGCATGCCTTGCGTATGCTGCACGTTCGAGCGCAAAGCGCAAAGTTCCAGGCTGCGAGGACATGCAGCGTTCGGTTCGCTTTGCTCGTCGATGTAAGATGTAATCGTACGTGGCGCATGTGCGTACTTGCGCGCTGTAACGTCGGTGCGAACGTCGTTTCGCCCGCGTTGTCGCTCGATGCCCGTATCCACCAGTGACGTCATCGGGGATACGAGTGCTTGCGAGTCGCCGTTAGGCATTACAGAGGTACATGCGCACGCGGTGTCACGATTTTTTTTATTAACAACGTGCGATGTCTGGAACGAGGGGCGGGATGACGATGATGAGCGGGAGGGTGATACTGACAAATGTGATCGGAAGACTAGGAGGAGGAGGCGGATGATGAAGGAGGAGGAGGAGGAGGAGGAGGAGGAGGAGGAGGATGGAGGAGGGGGAGGAGGAGGAAGAGGAGGAGGAGGAGGAGGAGGAGGAGGAGAAACAGGAGGAGGAGGAGGAGGAGCGGAGGAACAGGAGGAGGAGGAGGAGGAGGAGGAAGAGGAGGAGGAGGAGGAAGAGGAGGAGGAAGAGGAGGAGGAGGAGGAGAAGAGGGGGGAATATGAGGAGGGAGACGACGAGAGTAAGGAGGAGGAAGAGGAGGAGCAAGAGGAGGATGGGGGAGGAGGATGAGGAGGAGGAGGATCGAGGAGGAGGCGGGTCACCAACTTCCAGGAGGCCATGAGCAAGCGAGGCGCACGTAGCATGCGTTTTCGTCCGCGACGCACTTCGACAGCTTGACTTTACACTGAACGCCCCATATATATACACACATATAGATACATATTTTTATATATATATATATAGATCGCATACCATTGCGAGGGGAGGGAGGTTGAATGAATGGAACTGTATGAAAAGGAACTTGCATGCGCTCTGGTTGAAAACAACACAGAAACACAACATGTTACATTTAAAACGAAATATCACTGAAACCAAGCGTGCCAAGACAAAGTCGGACTTCATAAAAATGAAGTTGCTGCGTGGACTTCAAAAACAACGGTCTTCGGACCAGAGGGGACATCCTCACAAAACCGGCCCCGGGGGAGGTGCCCAGAGGAGCCCAGAGCGGCCTCCGGCACCGTTTCCGGACAGATCCGGTGGATCCGCTGGATCCGCTGGATCCGGTGACGAATCCCAAACCGGCGCCCTCGCTTGAGACATCCTCACAAAACCGGCCCCGGGGGAGGTGCCCAGAGGAGCCCAGAGCGGCCTCCGGCACGTTTCCGGACAGATTCGGTGGATCCGCTGGATCCGCTGGATCCGGTGACGAATCCCAAACCGGCGCCCTCGCTTGAGACATCCTCACAAAACCGGCCCCGGGGGAGGTGCCCAGAGGAGCCCAGAGCGGCCTCCGGCACCGTTTCCGGACAGATCCGGTGGATCCGCTGGATCCGGTGACGAATCCCAAACCGGCGCCCTCGCTTGAGACATCCTCACAAAACCGGCCCCGGGGGAGGTGCCCAGAGGAGCCCAGAGCGGCCTCCGGCACCGTTTCCGGACAGATCCGCTGGATCCGCTGGATCCGCTGGATCCGGAGACGAATCCCAAACCGGCGCCCTCGCTTGAGACATCCTCACAAAACCGGCCCCGGGGGAGGTGCCCAGAGGAGCCCAGAGCGGCCTCCGGCACCGTTTCCGGACTGATCCGGTGGATCCGCTGGATCCGCTGGATCCGGTGACGAATCCCAAACCGGCGCCCTCGCTTGAGACATCCTCACAAAACCGGCCCCGGGGGAGGTGCCCAGAGGAGCCCAGAGCGGCCTCCTGCACCGTTTCCAGACAGATCCGGTGGATCCGCCGACGAATCCCAAACCGGCGCCCTCGCTTGAGACATCCTCACAAAACCGGCCCGGGGGAGGTGCCCAGAGGAGCCCAGAGCGGCATCCGGCACCGTTTCCGGACAGATCCGGACAGATCCGGTGGATCCGCGCCCCGGGGGAGGTGCCCAGAGGAGGAATGAGGAGGAGGAGGAGGAGGAGGCGGAGGAGGAGGAGGAGGAGGAGGAGGAGGAGGAGGAGGAGGAGGAGAAGATGATGGAGCTGCGGGGTGGAGGAGGACAGACGGAGGAGGGCAGACGGAGGCAAGAGAAGGATGGAGGAGGAGGAGGAGGAGGAGGAGGAGGAGGAGGAGGAGGAGGAGGAGGAGGAACCTCATCACCCTCGCCAACAAGCGCACGCACCTTCTTCTATATACAGAAACTCCCGATCAACCGCAGAGCGGCCGGCTAGTAATGCTGATGACGGTGATGATGATGATGCTGCTGGTACTGATGATGATGAGGATGCTGAGGATGGTAATGACGATAAAGATGATGATGATGATGATGATGATGATGATGATGATGATGATGATGATGATGATGATGATGATGATGATGATGATGATGATGATGATGATGCTGGTGATATGCTGGTGTTGTTGATAGTGATGATGATGGTGCTACTGATGATGCTAATGATGATTGTGAGGAGGACGAGGATGAGGATGAGGACGAGGATGAGGATGAAGATGGTGGTGATGATGGTGATGATGGTGGTGATGATGATGGTGCTGATGAGTGTGTTTCCCATCACTACTGTTTTTTTGTAGAGTCAGGGGCACGTCGGCCTCGAGTCATCGTCGTTCAAAATATATTCCTGTGTCTTACCGCATAAGGTCAGGCGCAGAAAACCCCTGCACAATACCATGCAATTAGCGAACAAGCTGCACAAGCTTCGGAAACAAACCGGGCAAGAGAGAAAAAAGGAAAAGGCGAGTACATCGCCAGGGTTTTGAGGAACAGTGCAACTACAGGCCAATCTGGCGCCAGCCGTGGCGTCATATTCAAGGAAAACAAGGCGAACTTTAAACGGGTACCGAAGTCTTAGCGACAGCGTCTCTAAGTGCGAGACGGGGTCAAAGCGGTACTAGCGTCATCAGCTGATCGCCCTCGCCGATGCGCACGTGCATAAGCTCCTCAACAAGGCACGGCCAGGCACATCGTGAATCCTGGCGGCCTGGAGGAAACGCTCCAAAGGCGGAAGAGGAACTCTGCTGCCCCCGGCGGCGGCCGCGGGCCAGCACCAGCACCACGAGCGACAGCAGAAGGTCCAGAAGACAATCAATACTGCTTGTCGGCCTTACGCTGGACGGAGCGTTAGTCTTCCCACGCGCAGCGCGAAACGCAAGCTGAAGGGGAATTCCCTCGCCAGGCGGCGGGGGCCGACGGGGCAACAACTTGACGAGGAGCGGCGCGCACGCGGGGGGGTCGCAGCGGCAGCACCAACACGGCCCGCGGAGCCCACAGGGCCAGGGCCTGGCACGGCACGGGCCCGCTCGCTTGGGGCCCTCTGGCCGCGTGGGCCCCTGCGAGGTCTGCCCCCGCTGGTTCTGCCGACGGCAGCCAGCTCCCACGGGGCTCGGCGCAAGAGCCTGGACAGGGATCCCCCTCCTCCACAACCCACCGCCCTGCCCCCTCCTCCCGCGCGCCTCGCCGTCCTCGGCGCGGCGGCTCGAGCAGCATGCAGCCCCGTGGGCTAGGCGGCTCAGGCGAGGAGGGAGGGAGGGAAGGAGACCCGAACTGAGCCGGGGAAGGAGAAGCCCGAGGAATGACATTGCAGAATGGCTCCGGCGAATTATAGAAGCAGAACGCTGGCAGCCGCGTTCAAATTGACTCCTCCGTCGCCGACGGCACCACCTCGCGGTCGTCTTCGTTATCATCAGCAGCTTCATCAGCATCACCCGATGCCTCTGACTGACTTGGACGTGGCGACTGCTGCGATGTCTTCGACGATCCTCCCGAGATGCGCCGCACCATCTCGGCACCGCTGGCTCGCCCCGGCCTCTCCTTGGACAAGGCAGAAGTGTACCTCCTGAGCCTGGACGCGATGGCCTGTGCCTCCGCCACGACGAGGGACTCCCGAGTGCCTGCGAAAAAGGTCAACGCCAGGCTGGATAACAAGGGCGCAATCGACGTTTCGATCTGCTCGACGTCGGCGCCAATGATCACCGAAAGCCTCTTCTGGATCGGGCCCAAGGCCTCCGGCACGGGGAACTGGAAGTCCGCCCTGCGCGTCGACATCAGGTAGGGTTCGGTGCCGCAGTTCGAGCGCACGGCAAGCAACGTTCGCACGAAGTCCTCGGAGCGGAACGCGTCCTTCGTGAGGCTGACGATGACCGCTTTGGGCAAGCGGTCCTGTTTCAGGTCCCTGCCCGAAACCGCAACCAGTGTGTGCCACTGCATCTGGGCGCGGATCATGATGGCGAGCACCTGCGCAGAGGACACCGCCTCGCCGTCGTCACCGTTCGCGACCACCACCACCTCGGCCATGACGGGGTCCCCGACGAGGGATGGCCTGCTGCCGGACGTTTCCTTCCTGCCGGCGTGGAGGAACCTCGTAATTGTCTCCTGCACCATGTTGTCGAGGTCGATCTGTGGACTGACCGACGATCCCGCGCGCTTCCACGCGATCTTGCTCTGCTTGCGCAGGGACAGGTACGCCTCGCGGACCGTCTCGAAGGTGACGCCCTCCAGGGCCATCGGCGCGAACTGCTCGACGCTCCAGCGCTCGCTCAGGCTCTTGAGCGTGAGGTCCTGATCGGAAGGCTCCAGGTAGCCGTCCGAGGAGAGGCAGATGATGGGCGTGGAGTTGGTGTGCGCGACGGCGATCTCGCCCGCACACCAGGGCCGCCAGAGTGTCTCGGTGGTGAGCATCACGACCAAGCACTCCGTCCCGTTGCGCACCGTGTCCAGGACGGAGTCCAGGTCGTCGAGCTCGTCGGAGTCCAAGAAGACCCGTTTGCCAGTGCGCCGGGACAGTTCCATCTTGGCCAGGCGCGCCCCTGCCGCCATCCCAAGCTTGTGGTGGGACAGGAATATTCCGTAAGTCTTCGCGGTGGCCAGCGTGCTTCTGTAGACCAGCTGACCCACGAAGATGCTCAAGGGGAAGGACATGCCAATCACGACGACCAAGAGGATGACCTGCAGATCTTTCGTGACATCGTCGACGTCGACATCCACAAGGATCCCGGCGACCATGAGGGCGAGGATGAAGTTACCCATCAACAAAGCCTCCATGAGATTGGGGGTTCGCCCGCGCCACGGCTTGAGAGAGCAAGAGAGCAGGCCGAAGAAAACGAACATGCCGGCCAGAACAATGACCTGCAGGTGGGCGAAGTTGACGAAGATCACGGGCACCAAGGCCATCAGGAAATTCCTGAAGAAGAAGACCAGCCCGAGGGGTTCGACGCTATTGATTGCGTCCCGTTCGGGCTGTCTGCGCACATGAAGGGACTGACAACCGCGAGGGTCACAGCTAGGAACAGTACCATCATAATTAGGCCCACCGAATTCATAACCTGGTCCTTGTCAAGCGTGAGGCCCTTGTACCTGGAGTGAACGTGAATTATGAGCACGAGGCAACCCGCCAGCACGGGGAGGCACAACAGCCTCGACGCGAAGACGAAGACCTCGTTAGACGTCTCCAGGAAGCACCCGATCTTCAGGTATTCGAAGTTGAAGGAAAAGATAGCGGCAAACTTCACCACCGAGGAGAAAGGCTCGACCCAGACGACGTCGAGCCCCTAGAGCCACTGGATGACGATCACGAACTGGCCGCAGATCGCGAGGCCCCCCACCATGTTGACGCTCGTCTTCGTCACGTCAACGGTGGAGAAGTACACCATGAGGCAGCCGCCCACCAGCAGCAGCAGAATGGCGAAGACGAAGGGCACGTAGTCCGCGCTCTCGCACATCTTGCACGTGTGGCCGCCCGAGGTGGGCACGTGGCCCGCGAGGCAGGCGGCGCAGCCCACGGAGTCCGGGTCGCGGCCGTCCGCGCAGGTGCCCACGGGCCCCCCGGGGCACTGCTCCTTGTCGCGGCAGCGGTAGACGCTGTAGCTCCGATCCTCATCGTCCGAGAGGTGCGCCCACATGCCCGGCAACAAGGTTGGGGCCCCCGTGCCATCCGCACAGGCCATGCCGCTCGGGCACGGGAAGCACTCGTCACCGCTGGCGCTGAGGAAGGTGTCCGCGGGGCAGCTGCACGGGAAGTCCGCGGGCCCAATCCTGCTGTACACCATGCCCGCGGGGCACTCCCGGCACGACTCGTTGTCCTGCTGCTTGAACTTACCCTCGGAGCAGATGCACTGCGCCGACATCGTGGACCCCAGGAGCTGGGTGGTCATCTCGGAGCCGTCGAAGTCGGTGCACTGCAGGCACTCGCTCTGGCCCACCCCGGGCTGGTACCTGCCCGCCGGACAGTTAGTGCACTCCGACTGGCCCTCCTGCGACATGAACCGGCCCTGATCGCAGTCCTGGCAAACCTTGCGGCCCCGTTCCCCGGCCACCCGGCCCACCGTGCAGTTGCCGCACTCCAGGGCGCCCAAGGACTCCACGGCCGAGCCCACGGGGCAGAGGTCGCACTCCGCCTGCCCCGGCGAATCTGCGAACGTGCCGGCGGCGCACAGGTAGCACTCTGCGAAGCTGCTGGACCGGCTCCTGCCCACTTGGCACTGAATGCACTCGGCGATGTCGCCAGCGACTGGCGGGCTGGAAGTGCCATAGTCGACGAAGTGGTTGGCCGCTCGCTCCAGTCCCACCTTCATCATGGTAAATGAGTCGATGTACACACCTTCGGCGCCGCAGTAGGAATTGATGAAGTCGGTCCTCACCTCCGACCACGCACGGGCCGGCCACCTTGGGAGCATCCCATCCGCAGCCGTCCATGAATCTGGAACTTTGTCGATAGGAATAGCCGGCACCTGCACGAGCGACCCTCCGTCCCCCAGCTGGGTCTGCACCTGAATCAGGGGCATGTCCTCGTTCATGCCGTATTCGTTGAGGCCGATCGTGCCGTAGAAGGTCACCTCCGGCACCTCGTACGCAGCTCGAAGCGCGTGCGCATCCAGCTCGCCCTCTCCGCCCGAGCATGTGTGGCTGTCCGCCGAGCGCTTCAGGGTGCGCGTCAGCATGGTCAGCCACCCTGCGAGAGACGCACCATGGTACGACGGCGCCTTGTCGAACCGCTCCAGGTAGCCCTCGTAGAAGTCCAGGCCAGTGCCCCACGGCATGAAGACGTCGATCGTGTTGTAGGGCAAGACACTCGCCAGCAGCTTGGCATTGTTGACATTCGTCATGAAGGTGAACTTCGGCCGGATGCCCCTTGCGATCAGGCCGAGGACGACTGCGGTCTGGCTGTCGTAGAGGCCGCACCCGACGACGACATCGGCCAGGTTTGGGCTGTCCACCAGCGGGTTCAGGCCGTACTGGGTGACGTCGAACATGTCGACAAAGGGGACCATCCCGATGTCGTCGCAGTCCTTCATCTGCTGATAGATGGAGTCAAGTGGCAAGTGTGGCAAGTGTGCGCATCTCCGGAGAGGCCCGTCGCGCGGGCGCGCATGCAGGAACTAAAACAAAAAACAAACAGCGAGAATATGAGGGCCGGTGGTGATCCCAAACCGGCCTCGTGCTATGCCTCACGCACCGCACGGCCGCGGCGCGACGCGAGAAGACAGACAACCTTTGGATACGACGCCAAAAAAACCGGCGTGCCGGCCCATCCGCTATCGTTTTGGGTCCGGCTTGGGCCTGGCAAGGGCCTCCGAGGTGGAGACGGTCCCCACGTCCCATGAGCTTGTATACCCACGGGCACGGGCGAACGACATGTTATGCGACCCAGAGACTCGCCAGGCAAACCAGGAGCACCCCAAGAGCCGACCTGCGATAGGCAAACTCATGAAGTGAACCGTGGCCTGAAAGAGAGACAGACCACGCAGAAAGTGACATATTTCCCCCTCCCCCTGCGCCGGCCGCAGGCCAGAGGATGCGAAAAACGAAACTGGGATGCTAGCAAAGTGGGCGCGGCTGGACGCCGGACGAGGGAGGAGGAAGAGGAGGAGGACGAGGAGGAGGAGGAGGAAGAGGGAAGGGAACGAGGAGGAGGGCATCCCCCAAAGCGCTCTGTACTGTAGGGCCGGTCATTCAAGCTAAGCTATCGCCCACGTCACAAAGTCTCCCGCTCTGGATAGCCAATCGGCCCTGTCTCCTGCCATCTGTGCCCAGCGAGCCCCGCCGGTATGAACTGCATATTGTCGAAGTTTGTCTTCCCATTTCATATGTCTGCGGCGCGATGGCCGCATCAGCCTGCCCGAGCCCTCGCGACGTGCATCCGCCGTCCACGCGGAGTCTCGCCAGAACGTCACTCTCCAGGCCCACGTGCGCGCGCTTGACCTGCAGACGTGCCCAGCCCAGGACCACTTCCTCGCTGCGTGCGCTGTCGGCCAGTCCCGCACGCCCGCGGCGCGCGCCTTGGCCCGCGCACGGCTGGTGGCCCGGCGGATCCATTCATGCCATGGCTCCTCAAGACGACAACGAATGCCGCATATTCGTCGCAACATCCCGTTCTCTGCTGTCGTCAGAAAGCGCGTCTCGTCCGCGCGCGGCGTCCACGATCCAGCACCGTATAAGAGACTGCTGCCGATGGCCGCGTCAAACAGGTTCAGTCTCCTGTACAGGGAAGTATCTGCATTCATCAGCAGCCGCTTCATGGCCCAGAACTTCCTCCACCCAATCGCAACCCGGTGCTCCAACTCTGCCTTGGTCGCGTCCGTGAGCGAAAGCATCGTGCCGAGCACTTCCAGGGGCTCTCCCTCCCACAACACGTTCAGCGAGAGACCGTTGGCCAAAGCCACGTCGCCTCATTGCCGAACGTCGGGGCGATTCGTCTGCGCCTTGCACTTCGTGGGGTGCAACTTCAAGCCGCGCTTCAGCAGCGAATCTCGCACGGCAACGACCATGCGCTTCAAGGAAATCCAGGATCTAGCGACGAGCGTCATGTCGTCTGCGAAGGCAACGTGCGTGAGGCGCGTCCCATCGACCGCTCTCCCTACCTCCGTGCCGTAACCTCGTCGCTGCCATGCGGTGTCAACTTCACCCAGCGCCTGCGTCATCACCAGGTTGAACAGCACGGGCGAAAGAGGGTCTCCCTGACGCACTCCCCGCTGCACCTCGAAGCGACGACTGTCTGTGCCTGGATCTACTTGCACATAGGCCGACATATTTTGGTGGAGCTTACGAAGAGCCGCCACCACGGCAGAATCCACGTTCGCCAACATGAGTGCATCAAAAAGCTGCGCATGATGCACTTTGTCGAAAGCCTTCTCGACGTCCAGGGTCGCTACCCAGAGCTCTTCTCCCCACTCTCCAGACTTCTCAACAACCATTCTCAAAACATGCAAAGCGTCATCACAACCCCTACCACGACGGAAGCCATATTGTTCTTCCCGCAACTGTTTCTCCACACTGTCTTTGATACGGTCGTACTGGGTGAAAACACAAATTGCACAAAAAAAAACATAACAAAAAATAAAAAATCAAATTAGGGAACTCAAAAAAAAAAAAAAAAAAAAAAAAACACAAAAAAAAGGCTGAACAACTTCGCCAGGACTGGGATGATCGAAATAGGTCGGTAGTTCCGTAAATTGTGCCTGGCACCTTTCTTGAATTGGAGGGTGAAAGAGGGGGTCTGCAACAGGGGGTCTTCAATGGGGGCTGAATGGCCCATGTATGCTCAATGTATCGCTCATGTATGTGATCGGGTACGATTGGCATCCAATGCTGGCGGTCATTGATGGCCAGTCATTCGTGCCCGCGCGTTGCTCGCGCGGGCACACGCGCCGTCCATCCATTATCGTTCATGCGTGCGGGCGTTCTTGCATATTGCGTGTGGGTCGGCGAAGTGGAGTGCAAGTGTGTCTTGATTGTGCGGTTGATGATCGCGCATGTTCCCAAACGATGACTTCTCGACCCCCAAGACAGATTTGGAATGGGCCCCGCGATTCTCCCAAAATGTGAATTCACATTTTCCTTTTTCCCAAAATGTGAATTCACATTTTCCTTTTTCCCAACATGTGAATTCACATTCTGGCCCCTTCATAAAGAATCCTACACAAAATTCCAAAATGTGAATTCACATTTTCCTTTTTCCCAAAATGTGAATTCACATTTTCCTTTTTCCCAAAATGTGAATTCACATGTTGCTTTTCCCCACACTGTGAATTCACATTTTGCCCTGGCCTTCAAGATCCCAACAACTGAGGCGCAGTGTTCCGCATGTCAGATTGGGTGGGCAGATTTCGACACTTACCTGACCACTCTCGTGTGTTCCAGCCTTTTCTTGTTGCGCCCTTAGCGCACGTTGCCTTCGTCGCCTTTCCCGAGCCCCCCGCCACCTTGCTTCCTTTCCCCTCGAGTCTCGCGCGCGGGTGCAGGGGGGGGGCTTCAATTAGTTCCCCCGCCGAACACAGCAATCGAGGATGTATCGCCCATTCATGGCCTTCAAAAGCATCAAGTGCGCGCTCGAATAAGCGGCCCCGACCCCCCTTTCATCCACCCTCCAATTAAGATGAACAGACACTCGCGCGACCTTCCAACTCACCCGGCGCGTCCAAAGAACCGTCCGCCAAGATATCCGTGAATATACGAGGGCGAATGGTGCTCAGCAGTGAATCAGGCAAAATAGAAAAAGAAAAAAAGTCATCATAAGCAAATCAAAAAATAAAGAAAAGCAAAATGCACTCGTCAAAAAAGGAATCAAAACAGATACAAAGAATTAGAAAAAAAAAACAAAAAAAACGCAAGACAAAAAACGAGCAGGAATAACAGCTCAAAAAGTACCCTCACTCAAACCCAGAATACACTTCCCAACAAGATAAAAAGAATCGCGTCCTCGTGCCCAGAGCGGAGCATTTCCGCCACCAATCCGTCATCAGCGCCCGTTCTTCCTCCTTTCATCCGTTTCAGAGCCGCTGTAACCTCCGCAGGTGTAATCGGTGAGACAGCTCGGGGTTCGCCTTGCCACTCGTCATATCCAGCTGCCTGAGCATCCCGGTACAAGTCTTCATAGAAGCAGGCGAAAGCCTCCGCGATACCGGCACCATCTGTCACATAGAAGCAGGCGAAAGCCTCCGCGATACCGGCACCATCTGTCACCAGCTCCCCCGCCAGATTTTCGATCGACGTGGTCCTCTCGACGCCAGCGCGTCGCTGTTGGATCCTTTGGAGGCTACGTAATCCTCGGCCTTGTGCAGCTGCTTCGCGGATCTCCCTATCATAGCGGCGACGTCTGCTCGTGCGGAGAGCCCTCCACAAACGTTTTGACAACGATTTCCGTCGTTCTGGGTCGTGCTCCTGCCGCCTCATAGCGAAAAGCTCAACGACATCATCGCTATGTCGACTCCCGTGCGCCACGGCCGTCTCCCCACCACGCCGAGCAGCTTGCACAACTATGGCATTCACATCTGACAAATTCGCATGGCCTTGCGCGAGGCCATCCGTCAGCAAACCGTGGGATAGCGAGGGCTTTGCCTGGTCGTCGAGAGCAGGCTTCCACCCTCGCATGATCTTGGCCCGGCGACGTCGAGGACGAGACTGCGCGGCCGTCCGCACCCGGGTAAAAATGGCTCGGTGGTCCGATTTACCTTCCAAGTTCCAGAACACAGAAGCATGCAATACGCTTTCGGATTTGGCCGCCTCCACGCATATGTAATCGATCTGGCGTCGTTCACCAGTGCTGTACATCTCGTGCGTCCATGCGTCCTGCCAGAGGTTTTCGAACATCAGACTCGTTGCTGTCAGTCGTGCTCCGTGCAACCAGTGCGCGAACATATGGCCTCGATGGTTACGCTGACGATGCCCGTGATCCCCGATGATGTTACCATCGTCCGCCGGGAGCTTCTGGCCCAGCACGGCGTTCGCATCGACCCCCAGGATAAACGTGCGCTTCTCGTGCCGAGCCCCAGCCAACACGGCCTCGACCTCCATCAACTGCGCCTCGAAGATGTTGTCTGGAAATCCGCCGTGACATAGATGTGCCGTGACGAGCCTGTAGCGACCGCCCGCCAAAGAAACGTCCAAGTAAGATAAAGAAGAGCTCACAGTGCGGTAATGCATATCGACTCCCTGCACCGCCCATCTCTTGTGAATCAAGACGCCAACGCTGCGCTTGGTCGAAGCCCGCGCCTGTGAGCAACACCACAAATGGCCAGATTCCAATATCTTTTCGGCAGTCTCCTCCGCGAGCGGCCCCTCCTGGCACAGTAAAGCATCCCACCGTGGCCCGTCGTCCAGTAAGGCAGCAACGTCATTGATCGATCCCTCCTCCATCCCATTCGCATTCCAACTAAGAATAGTAAAATCCAATGAATTCGTGAACTCCGGCCCTTGCATATCCTGCCCAGTAGCTGGATAATCAACCAGAACACCAAAGTCCGGCTTCACCACTCCGGCCTTGCGCATGATAGAAAAGGGTACGTCCCCACACACACTCGCATACAATCCCCTTCCCCCGCCGCCCCTCCGCAGAGGGAGTCCCTACTCCACGGCGTGCAGCTCGTCGAACTTGGCCTGGTACCTGGTACCTGGTCCCAGCAGGTGCATGGATCCGTCTCTCCACTCCCCTGCCCTGCACTCCTTCCACCATACCACGCCTTTCCTGTAATTCGTGTCAATGTGCTCCTTGACCTTGGACCCGTCCCCCCCGTTGACTTCGATGATGGCCCGCACGAGCTTTCTCACTGCCCGCTCCCGCTTCGCCTCGTCGGACTCCGGGTCGCGATTCCTGTAGTCAGCGTTGCCGTAAATCTTCTGCTCCTGGTACGCGTGCGAGCTGGCCGCCCCACTTTTCAGGTAGTCCCACATCGCCTCCGGAGTCTTGAAACGAACTGCTCCGCGTTCCGCGAACTTCCGACCGTACGCGAAGACCTCCTCCACCTCCTTGGCCTCCTTCACAACCTCCTCCAAAAACTTAACTATATCAGCCGACTTCGTGTCCTGGGGAAACGTTCCGAAATTCATCGTGCGATTCAATTTTTCCACCGTCTCTGATTTGCCTTTGCCCTTGCCTTTGGCGGCGCTGCCGGCTGCCGTCGAAGAAAATACGGTCCCGGACAGCCCCTCCCCCTTGACGATGTCCCTCACCAAGCTGGGCAACTCCTTCTTCATATTCTCCACGTCCGCGGAAACCTGGGTGACCGCCGCGTTGGCCGCCGTCGCCTCGTCCTTCGCCTCCTGCGCCAGCAACTTCACCGTCTGCGTGTCCGTTGCCGTTTTGTTCACCGTCCCCATCATCTTGATCATCATCCTCTGCATGCTTTGGGCCCAGTCGGGCGCTGACTCGTCAACCTGGAGATCGTCGTCCTTCTCGTCGACCCTAGCGGTCTTCCTCTCAGGCGCTTCGGCACCACTGCCATTGGCCTTCAACTTCCTTGTATCGCTCATCCTCGTCGCGACCTGTGTGGAGGCGCCGATCCGCGCAGCGAGACAGAAATAAGATGTGAGAGTAGGTTGTAAGAGAAGTAAGCTGTAAGAGAAGTAACACCTTGAGAAGTAACACCTTGAGCCTCTGGGGCCCCTTGAGCCAATGGTGTGCCTTGAGCCAACCGTCTGAGTCCGCCAGCGGGTCGATGGCCGCCTGCAGGGTGATGTTGAACCCCAGCGCCGTCGCCAGGTCGATGGCCCCGATGCAGAGCGACTTGCTGAAGGCATCGGTCTGGCGCCAGATGAAGGCGGCGGTCGGCACGCGGGCAGTGCCCGAGAGGCGCCTGGCGGCCTCGGTGGCGCTGAGCTGCTCGAAGGAGTACTCGAGGCCCGCCTTGAAGTAGTTCCCCGCGCGGCCGAACGACTGCACCCGCAGGTTCTGGCCCCTCCCGTCCTCGGGGTAGGCGAAGATGCTCTCCGACGCTCCCCCCCAGGCGCCGCACAGGACGGACAGGTTGTTGTCGTCAAGGAAGTCGCAGACCGTCTTGGTGGCCCCGGAGGTGTACGGGCAGATGACGACGTCTGGGGAGTCCACCGTGCGGGGAATCAACATGTCGCCCAGCTTCGAAGTGTAGAGGCTCGAAGTCGACTCGTCGTCTTCGAAAGAGAACATTATGTTGTAGGGGAAGCTGTCATCTGCGTCCACCTTCTCCTTCCACATACTCAGAGCATTCAGCGCCTGGTCCCCGTAGTAATTGAACCTCCCGGACATCTGCTGCGTGCCGCCGAGCACAAGCCTCCCTCGGATGTCCTTGCCAGAGGCCCCCGCGAGGGCCCCCCAGCAGCAGCCAGGCCGCCAAACCCGCCCGCCGGGTCATCGCCCGGCGCGGCTGCTGCCCACCCGGGCGGCGCAATCGAGGTGACGGGCGGCCTGGCCCGCCGCGCGCACAAGTAGGGGCGGACCGCCCACACGCCGAGCCAGAGTAGTGATGGGAAACAGCCAATTGGCTTTGGCTGTTTCCCATCACTACTGTGCTGAATTTGGCCCTCGTCTTGAATCAGCAGCGCGGGGCGCCCAACCCCTACAATCTTCCTCATCGCCCTCCTCCTCCTCCCATCCCTTGCCTCTGCCGTCCGCGTGTCTCTGTTTCGCACACACACACACACCACACGTGTCGCGGCCCCATAAGAAGTTCCACCTACGGCCTCAGTGGTTGCGCCCGCATGCCGCCGCCACCCCACTTTGGCACACCCCTCACACACTTCGAGGCTCCATAAGGAGCTCCACCAAAGGCCGCAATGGCTGCGCACGCATGCCGCCGCCACCCCGCCTTGGCGCACCCTTCACACGTTTCTTGGCCCCATGGGGAGTTTCACCTGAGGCCCCAGTGGTTGCGCCCGCTTGCCGCCGCCACTCTTGTTTGGCGCAACCCATTGTACGTTTCATGGCCCCTTTGGGAGCTCAACCTAAGACCCCAATTGGTGCGCCCGCGTGTCGCCGCCACCCAACTTTGGCACACACCGCATACGTTCTGTGGCTGGAAGGAGCTCCATCTATGTCCCCAGTGGTTGCGCCCGCATGCCGTCACCACACCCTTTTGGCGCACCCCTCATACGTTCCGTGGCTCCATTAGGAAATCCACCTGAGGACACAGTGGTTGCAACGGCATGCCGCCGTCACCCCACTTTGGCGCACCCCTCGCACGCATCATGGCCCCATAGGGGGCTCCATCTAAGGCTACAGTGGTTGCGCCCGCATGCCGCCGCAGTCCCACTTTGGCGCACCCCCCACACGCGTCGCCATATAGATCACTGCTCTGGCAAGGGGGGCGGACCTCGCCGCAGGCACCTATAATTTACACGTTAGCGATGCGACTGTGTTCGGCGGCCGTGCCGCCCGCATTTTGGGTGCGCCCCGAAATCTCGCATTGGCAATCCCCTCTGTTTGGTTGCGCCGCTGTGCTCGGATATCGAAAAAGCATGTACCGCTGACGCGGGCACGCGGCGCCAGGGACTTCACTTTTCGAACAAGGAGGGTGGGCGAGGCAGGACGACGGATGGTGGAGCAGGGAGGCAAAGAGGAACGAGGAATAATGAGGGAGGTGGGAAGGGGCTCTCCCCCGCCCGAGCCGCGGACGCTTTCGACACCATCCGGGGGAGGGGGGAAAGGAAGGGGAACGGAGCAAGGGCGAGGACGACGACGGGAAGCAAAGTGTCCTGGGTCCGCATATAGCCATATGTCTGCGATTCGGGTGCGCGCGCTTTCTTCGAGGCACTTCAAGCCGGCCCCATACTGAATTCACTAATTCCTCAAAACTGTGTAAACACTCTGTCCTCTGTTCCACCTCCTATACAACGGCCTCATAACAGAGGGGCAGTGGATTCCAAGTCGTGGCCCCATTGGGAGCTCCACGTACGGCATCCATGGTCGTGCGCGCATGCCGTCGTCACCTCGTCGGTACACCACTCACACGGTTCGTGGCCACATAATGAGCTTCATGTATGGTCCCAGTGGTTGCGCCCGCATGTCGCCGCCACACCGAGTTGGCGCCCCCCTCATACGCTTCGTGGCCCCATGAAGGGCCCCGCCTCAGGGCGGCCACATGCCGCCACCACCCCCACTTTGGCGAACCCCTCGCACGCTTCGTGGCCCCTTGGGAAGTGCACCTAAGAACTCAGTAGTTGCGCCCGCATGCCGCCGCCACCCTGTTGTTACTCAGTGTTCACACGTTTCGTGTCCCCATTGGGAGCTCCACCTAAGACCCCAGTGGTTGCCCCCCGCATGCCGCCACCACCCCACATTTGCGCACACCTCGCACATTTAATGGCCCCATAGGGAGCTCGAGAGGTCCAAGTGGTTGCGTCCGCATGCCTCCCCCCGCCACACTGTGCCGCACCGCTCATACGTTTCGTGGCCCCATTGGGAGCTCCACCTAAGGTCCCAGTGGCTGCGCCCGCATGCCCCTGCCCACGACACTTTGGCATACCGCTAACAAGTTGCGTGGCCCGTTTGGAAGCTCCGCCTAAAGGTCCCAGTGGCTGCGTTCGCGTGCCTTCCCCAAACCACTCTGGCACACCGCTCGCGCGTTTCGTGGCCCCAGAGGGAGCTCCCCCGAAGGCCCCAGTGATTGCGCCCGCATGCCTGACCGCGCCCATGTCGGCACACCCGTCGCACGTGGCCCTAAAGGAAGCTCGGACTGAGGCCCCTTTTAGCAGGAATCGCATGAGTGACCGTGCCAATTTTGGCAAACCCCTCGCAAGCTTCATGGCCCCATAGGGAGCTCCGCAGCAGGCCCCAGCGGCGTGAATCGCACGCGTGACCACAGCTGTTTCAGCACACCCCTCGCACGTTTCGGGCCCCCCCCCCAGGAACGCACGCGTGACCGCGCCCAGTTTGGCACACCCCTCGCACGCTTCGTGGCCCTATAGGAGCTCCACCAAAAAGACCCCGCCGCTGGCTGCTCCCCAGACCGCGCCCTGCTGCTCCCCAAGGCTGGGCCGACAGACGCTCAAATCGGCCGTGACGGTATACATCCAGCTATAACCCGCTGCGGCTGACCCTGCGACCCATCAGCATCGTCGCTCCGTCCTTCTCACGCACGGTTTCATCGTCCCCTAATTTCCATCTGTCTTGCGGCACTCGCAACTCCATATGTTTGTGTCCTTCGGCAGGCTAAGTTTTTTTTTTTCGCGTGAAGGCCAGATGATCAAAATTGGCAGCTTCGCTGTTTACGTCAGCGCTCGCTCTTGGGAGCCGTGGCTTTAAGAGCGTTCTTGGCCACTGCTCGCTCTCGGGACCCTTGGCGTTCAAAGCCTTCGTCGCCACCGACTCGTGTCAGTCACCTGGTGCTCTTGGGAGCATTGGCGTCAAAGCTGCGTCCGTCATTCGGCCGTCCGAGGGGGGTCCTCTGGGGCCGTTCTGGGGCCTCTGCTGACCCAGGCCAGCGTGCAAGATCCTGCAAAGCCCGACCGACTCGGGCTTGCAATGACCCGGGTCAGTGCGTCCCCGACGCCAGAGGAGGAGGAGGAGGAGGAGGAGGAGGAGGAGGAGGAGGAGGAGGAGGAGGAGGAGGAGGAGGAGGAGGAGGAGGAGGAGTTGGAGGAGTTGGAGGCAGAGCCTCCCGAGCGCACTGGCCACTGCGTGGCGCCGCGGCCGCGCCGCGGCGGCGGAGCGCTGCCTCGGCGCCTTCTCCGCCCGCCGCGCGCCGCCGAGCGCGCGCAAGCCTGCGCACGGCGCGGGCGCCGAGCCAGCGGCCGGACCGTCGAGATCTGCCGACGCCTGGCTGTGCTGCGATCTGCCGACGCCTGGTTGCTGGCTCCCCTTTCGGGGGGGGGGAGCCTGGGCATAAGGCGCGCGGATCTCCGCCGGTGTGGTGCGGCTCGCGCAAGGGATGCGGCTGCGGAGGTGGGGGGGTCCCGTGTTGCGGGGGGTTCGGTTCGTCGTCGTCGTCTTCTTCGGGGGGCTCGCCCATACTCGGCTTGTGTAGCCTAATTCCCGCTGGCACCTAAGCGTGCCCCTTACATGACTCATCAGCTTGACAACTGATTGATATCCCTGACTGCGGCTGGCGATCTGGCCACCGCCTTTCACACTGACGGGGGCCAGGACCAGTGCGGCGGCCAGTAGTCTCCTCCTCGGCTGCTGGTTGCCCTGCTTGGCTTTTTCAGTGTTGATTCCACCCCGGGGTGGCCTCGCGGCGGCTCCAGGGTGGTCTCTTCTTATACCCCTTTTGACTTTCTCGGCCTCCGGCCGAGGGCGTCCACGGCACAGGCACCGCGTCGCCATCAACCACAACAGCAAGCGGCCGGACCGTCGAGGTCGGAGGCCTCAAGGTCGACGCTCGGCTGCACGCAAGAGTGACCCTGGACAAGAGTGACCTTTGGTGGGCGGCTTCGTGGGGGCCGCGGGGGGCCAAACGCAAGCGCGCAGGACGCTGCCATCGCACCGCGTTCGGCGATCGGGGGGCCCCGATGGGCCCGCACCAAAAGGTCACTCCAGCGAAGGGTCACTCTTACGTGCAGCCGAGACACCAACACCGAGATCGGCGATGTGCCTCCACCGAGGGAAGATAAAATCCCGATCTCGATGATGGTGGCAATACTAGCCGGCCGCTCTGCGGTTGATCGGGAGTTTCTGTATATAGAAGAAGGTGCGTGCGCTTGTTGGCGAGGGTGATGAGGTTCCTCCTCCTCCTCCTCCTCCTCCTCCTCCTCCTCCTCCTCCATCCTTCTCTTGCCTCCGTCTGTCCTCCTCCACCCCACAGCTCCATCATCTTCTCCTCCTCCTCCTCCTCCTCCTCCTCCTCCTCCTCCTCCTCCTCCTCCTCCTCCTCCTCCTCCTCCTCCTCCTCCTCCTCCTCATTCCTCCTCTGGGCACCTCCCCCGGGGCGCGGATCCACCGGATCTGTCCGGATCTGTCCGGAAACGGTGCCGGAGGCCGCTCTGGGCTCCTCTGGGCACCTCCCCCGGGGCCGGTTTTGTGAGGATGTCTCAAGCGAGGGCGCCGGTTTGGGATTCGTCATCCGGATCCAGCGGATCTGTCCGGAAACGGTGCCGGAGGCCGCTCTGGGCTCCTCTGGGCACCTCCCCCGGGGCCGGTTTTGTGAGGATGTCTCAAGCGAGGGCGCCGGTTTGGGATTCGTCGGCGGATCCAGCGGATCCAGCCCAGCGGATCTGTCCGGAAACGGTGCCGGAGGCCGCTCTGGGCTCCTCTGGGCACCTCCCCCGGGGCCGGTTTTGTGAGGATGTCTCAAGCGAGGGCGCCGGTTTGGG